CAGCCCATGCACCCAGCACCTGCAGTGGGCCGAGCCCCTGGGCCCAGGAAGCCGCGCAGGGAAACCCATAGTAACTGAAACACCCCCAGAAAGACAGCAGCTGAGCCCCTCCCAGGGTTGTCCATGTAGGATGGCAGCTCTCAGCCAGGAACGATTCTGTCCCCCAAGGCACAGTCGGTAATGCCTGCAGACATGTTTGTCATCACCAAGGGGAGGTGCTCCTGGCACCTGGTGGGTGGAGGCCAGGGACGTGCTGGGCATCCTACACTCACAGGACAACCCACAGCAAAGACCTTTCCGGCCCAAAAGGTCAGGGGCCGCGGTTGAGAGAGAGACCCAGGGGGCAATGCAACTTCGGCTGGGCTGGAATGGTTACAAGCAGAACCACCGGTGCCCCGTGTGCACACACACATCAGCCAACACACGTAGCCGACCTGTGTGGCCAAGCGGGCCGCGGTTTCACGAGCATGGGGACGAGGAAAAGCCAAGGACAGACATCCAAGGACCGGACGTGAGGACGCAAGGAGGTACCGTCTGTCCTGGGAGGCCATGCGGGGAGACTCCGTTTTGCTGCTGAAGATACGAAGAATCCCAAACCCACACGACAGGCTCTGGAGGGTCCCGTCCCGTCTCCTGCCGTGGGCGACCACTTCCACCACGGCCACGATGCTCGGGTGGCTCAAGGACGTGTGGAAGTACACGGGCTGCAAACAGAAGTCAGAAGCCAGGTGAGGGCCGGACACCGCCACCTGCAGAGCAGGACCCAGAGGGCGCAGCTGGGCTCCCTGCCACCTTGGGCAGTGCCATGTAAACCCACACATGGCCCTGCAGTGCCACGTCCCTTCCCAGGCGCCCGAGACAACAGGCACAGTCAAGCGGCCCCCTGCGAGTCCGGCTCCTCACCCCCAGCCCCCACCACCCAGGACATCCGCCCTTTGCTTTTGCTCCGGGAATTTTCCATCCAAAAAAATGCCAACAGACACCAGGCCCTGCAGGGAAGAAAGAGGCTGGGGGCCACGCACCGCCCGGGGCAGGACCCCAGGGGCACTAAAGACAGGACAGGCCCTGCCGCACATACGCACATGGTATGTAACTCGCTGCACAGAACTCGTCAGCCTGCCGGTGCGCTGAGCCCTGCTGAGGGAAGGACCCTGAAGCTGCCCTGAACCAATTCTGTGTCACTAGCACATTTCAAGGTGCCAGGTAGCTATCCCGGCACAGAGCCCACTAACACCTTTTATCACAAAAAATCGCGTGGAGAGCATCTTCTTACACGATCGTTTGGGGCCTGAGCCAAGCAGACGATACTCAAATGGCTCTTCAGAGGTTTCCACACGTAGCTTTCCCTCCTTCCAGCTCTGCCCTCCGGGGTCAGCCCCGTCTCTCCCTCGGGGAACGAGAGCGCCTCTCCCTGCTGCTGCTCCTTCTGTCTCGTGAAGCCGATGCAGTTGCTTTTATTTAAAACTAACCGAGTCACAGACACAGAAGTCAGAGGCGGAGATGTGTGAGCTGTGGCTCTGGCCTCCGTGTCCCTGAAGCCCAGCGTCCGCGCTGGGGTCCCAGCTGAGCACAGAGGTCAGGCCAGGCCAGGCGGGCAGGGCCCAGCAGGGGATTTAAAGCCGGACTAATCCTGTAACAAGCCGTCACCGCGTGTCACCCAGGAAGCATTTACTGCAACCACAGACTGTCAGCCGGGGTAACGGAGAGACACATTAACACATCAGCCGGAGGTATAAATCGTTATTCTATTTTCTTTTACTGCAAAATGATGAAATAATAGCCACTTACCGCGGACAGGTGGCGGGACCGGGGAGAACTATGTTTCTGTTTCCAAGACGCGGACCTGGGCTAAAGCCCCAGCGCCAGCCGTGCTGGTCACCGTCCCGCCTGGTACGTGTGCCCTGTGCGCACGGCGTCAGGGACACCGCCGCCCTCTCTCCTGTCAGCAGCTCGACCCCCGGGCCGGAGGTCACTGTGGCCCTGCCCCGCCGCAGCGCCGGGCCCGCTTCCCAGCACGCCCCAAGCACAGGTTCAGGGCTGCGGCCTCTCCCTGTCACCTACACCGAACCATGATTCTGAGACAAAACAAGCAGAGCAGGGCCGCACCGGCCCTCGTCTCCGGGACTCCGCTCGAGCGGGAGGTGGCGCTGGAGGCGCGGCACGTGGGCAAACACGAGGTCCTGGGTTGACCCCGCTGCCCATCGGTCAGGACAGACGCGCTTTCCAAACACCACTTACCGACCCTGCGGGCTGGGCACGGCGCCGTGCGAAAGGCTTCGTAAGGGCCCGGGAAAGCAGGTGCCGCCTGGAGAGGCCCAGGGTCCCAGGGCGAGGCCAGGCGAGGCAAGCTGCTCAGGACTGACCCCGGGGCTCGTGGGGGTAAGAGCCGCCTGGGACGCACACACGGTGCGGCTCCACAGCTGCCCTCCCGTCACCGGCCAGGGTCCAGAGGCTCACGCGGTGCTTAGGCCCGGGCCGCCTGACCGCACACGTGGGCTCAGCCGCGAACCCCGACGGCACTCAGCGGGCCACACCTGCCTGCGCCCTTCCGCCTGGGACGGTGCACGAACGCCACGCACCGAGAGGCAAATCTGCCCGTCGACTGAAATGACAGGATGGAGGTTCGCGTCAAGCACATCAGGCTTCCTGCCAGAGGAGGCCCGCAGTGTGGGTACCCATGCCCCCACCTCGCACCGCACTCTTCCACAGGTGAGAGGTCCTGCCCAATAAGCAGATGAATAAACCACAGAAATGCTCCTATCGCTGCCTCACCTTCAGACACACGGACCCCACGGGCCTCAGGCCACGTTTCCACGTCTCACCCCATGGCAGTGACGGGGCCTCTGAGAACGAGCTTCCGGAGAGGCCGCCAGCAGAGGCACGGCGGCGGCAAGGCCAGGGAGAGGAGGGGTGCCTGCCGGAGCCTTCTCCACCGGCCTGAGCCAGAGCATCGCCAGGAAGGCAGGTCGTTCACGGCGCTTCCTGACCTCACCCGCCGCTCGGTCCCACTGGGCTCGGACCCTGGACCTCCAGGCACAGGGGCTGCTCAGCACTCTCCTCCGGGAAACGCACTCGCCGATGACAAAGCCGAGGCGTCCCCCACCTGGTGGGCTCACCCTGACCCCAGCGAGCAGCACGGCCAGGAGACGGCCCCTCCCAGGGAGCCGCCAGGCCCTGTGTGTCGCCGTCCAGGGTGACAGTGCCTGCAGCCAGGCAAAGTGACCCCGCGCCACCTTGTCCACCTTGTCCAACCAGCTCCTGTCCTTCTCACAGCAAACCCTGCAGAGCAGTCAGGACAGCCCGCTCCGGCCAAAGGGCACCTCCCGGCGGACACAGGAAAGTAAGCAAACTCCCAGGACACGGCGAACACACCCCAGCTCACAGGCTGGCCTCTGCACTGTCCCCCACGCCAGGCAGTTGGACCACCACACAACGAAGTCCCAACAGTGTCCCCCTTCCTGGCTCAGGGCCCCAGCCTGGAGGAGAGCGGCTGACCCGAGGGACATGACAGCCAGCCACACGGCCGCTCTCCTGGACACACGCTGGCTCCCCACCGCCTCCGCGCTGCACGGGGGGCGGCACAGGGTCTAGCTCAGGGCCCCAGTCTGGAGGAGAGCAGCTGACCTGGAGTTTCACGGGGTCCCCCGGCCTCCCTACAGCCACTGCTAACGCGGACATGGCCGGCTCTCATGGGCGAGGAACACGGTCAGCGTCCCCTTGGGGCGGGGAGTGGAAGCAGCCCATCACCTGTGACCGGAGAGAGCGGCTGATTTCCTGTGACCTCAGCACCCAGGGCTCAGGTGGGCTGGGGTGGGAGGACCCCGGCAGGGTCTCCCCTGTGTGTGGAGAACCCCTAGGCTTCCTGCCCAGTCACCCCCAGAAGCTGAAGCAGGAAAACCAGCCTGTCCCCGAGGATGGGCGTGGTCATCAGAGGATTTAAGGGAAACCGGATCCATCGGAGAGAAAATGGAGGGGCTGTGCGGTACTCTGACCCCCCGTTATTTTTTTAATATGTTTTTATTGATTTCAGAGAGGGAGAGAGAGGGACAGACAGAAACATCAATAATGAGCGAGAACCATGGATCGGCTGCCTCCTCCCCACTGGGGATCGAGCCCGCAACCCGGGCATGTGCCCTTGGCTAGAATCAAACCTGGACCCTTCAGTCCACAGGCTGACGCTCTATCCACTGAGCAACACCGGCCAGGGCAGCCCCCGGCTATTTTTTAAAGACACCTGCTGAGAGGCGGCTGAGTGACGGGCGTCTCTCGGGAGCGAAGGGCAGTGCTCCTCAAAGGCGTCTCGGAGCAGAGCCCACAGCCGCTCGGAGCTGGGGGCCGGGCGCCAGGCATCATCACTCACAGACAAGCTCCCGGCTCCGGTCAAGGCCGGGGAATGAGCAGCGGCCTCTCCAGGGCCGCCTCTCACACGGACACCTCAACAACGCTGAGCACAGGAGGACGACGCCCACACCCACGTCCGGGGCCACGAAGCCCAGCTGGGCCTGCCGCGGGCAGCTGCACCCTCACACCAGACCCCTCGCTGCCGGGTAAGCAGACACACAGGCAGCCAGTGGAGTCAGAGCACGCCACCCAATTCCCGAACCCCTAAAAGGGCAGCTTGGACTCATCTGTGTCCACAGGGAGCAGGCAGGGCACCCCCAGAGTGAGCAGCGCCTGCCCCCCTACATGCCAGCCCCTCAGGGACAGCTCACTGTGCAGACGTCACATGCACACGTGTGCACACGGGGAGGGGCCTTCTCTGGAGCTAAAGAACTTGAACAAAACCCCTTTTTCTGTATTCTGACCGTCAAGGCAACAAAAGCAAGTGCTGGACATGAGGACTTTCCCGGGGCACCAGCGGCCTCTGCTGCTCGCTGAGGGCACAGCACTGGAGAGCCACCATCGCCATCCCGTGGCTGGGCATCGCCTCCGGCCCACACTTCCCCGGCGCGTTCTCCTCCTTGGCAACTCCGAGGCCACGGAGCAATTCCCCAGAGGCGCCAGGATTAAGTCCTCGCCAGCCCCTGCCACTCCTCACGCCCAGCTCAGTAAACAGGATGCAAACAACGCCAGCAGAGATGGAGCCTACACTGCTCCCAGACTCGGAACCGGAGCCGGATCTCGGTTTTCCTACCTGGGACTGGAGCCGCGAGCTGATGCAGTGACATCTGAAGCGTCACTCAACGGGAGTGACAACAGAAGCGCGCCCCCCCCCCCACCCGCACGATGCTGAGCCCTGGGCAGCACGGAGGGCGGGCATCACTCAGAAGGCTCCTCCTGCCCGCACCCTGATGCTGCAGGGTCCCCGCACCACGGCGCAGCGCCTCAGGGTGGGCAGCCTGGCGGCCAAGTGCCACCCATGGGGACAGTCCCAGCCTCTCCAAGGGGAGGACAGTGGAGGGACTCATCCCTGTGCTCGCCCCAGAGCAGGGTCCCACCCCGAGACCCTGGCAACCTCCTCCACGTGGACGCACGGGGTAGAGGCCACAGGACAGCCACCACGGTCAGCGTGGCCACACAGCCAGCTCACCAGGTCCACCTGCTCAGACGCAGGGAGGCACACACAAACGTGGGCACGCACAAACGCAGGCACGCACGGCCTTGTGACCTGCTGGGTTACTCTTTGGGGGAACATAATACCCCGAGTACTGGGGGACGAGACCCCACGCGCCCACCACCCACTGCTCCAGCCAGCGCAGCGCTCTCACCCATTTAGGGCGCTTGGCCTCCACGAAAGACTTTGTTTGGAAATGGCGCCGCCCTCAGACCAGTGCTGCGAGCCGGGGCTGCGGCCCATAGGCCTTTCCGGGCCTGAGAGGCGCTGTTTGTGTCCCCGGGTCGGGGGTTCCCCTGCCCGCCCCAGGGTCCCAACACCTGCTGCCCGCATCAAAACCCACCTCATTCAGGACAATCCTGGACGGCTGCCTGGGGAGCGGCTCCACGGGCCTCGCTGCGCTCCTCCACGTCCTCCCGAAGAAGTGGCGGTAGGCGACATCGAAGAGAGACACGCGGAGATGGCACCCCAGCTCCGACAGCATCTCCAGCGCGCCCTGTGAGACGGGGTGTGCCCTGAGGTTCTCAGCGGCTGAGCCTCCCGCAGGTGCTGACCACCATCCAGGTAAGCCGGCTGTCAGCGTCCTCCGGGGTTTAGGCACCGATTTCCTTCCCAGGAACCACCGCTCAGAACACGAAGCCCCGGGCCCAGCCCCGCCGGGAGACCCACAGAGCCCAGGAGACGCAGGCGGGGGCTGCGGGGACCGGTGCATCTGGCACCCGGTGGAGCCGAAGAAGCCCGAGGACATCACGGACCCCGGTCAGCCACACCTGAAGCTTGGAGTAACCAAGGGTCTGCCTGCCGTGTGAGGAATGGTCGCCTCTAGCTAGGCTATTTGGGTGGGTTTTATCGAGCACAACCCAGTGAACCCTTCCTGATGTAACCACAGGGTGGTGTCAGCAAAGGAGAAGCAAATCTGTGAGGCCTGAGATGTCACAGCCACAAGTACAGACAAAGCAGCCAGAGACTATGAACACAGGCCCTTTGCCCGGCTGGCTCAGTGGTGAGCGCTGACCTATGAACCAGGAGGTCAGGGTTCCATTCCTGGTCAGGGTATAGGCCTGGGTTTCAGGCTCGATCCCCAGTAGGGGGCGTGCAGGAGGCAGCCGGTCCATGATTCTCTCTCATCATTGTTGTTTCTCTCTCCCCTTCTCCCTTCCTCTCTGAAGTCAATAAAAATATATTTTAAAAAAGGAAGAAAGAGCCCAGGGAACCAGATTACCCATTTTAAAACCGCTGTACTGTGGGCAGAAGCAGGCTTTTCCCAGGGTCAAAAGTGCTGACCGAGCCGCTGAGTCGCGGATTCTCTTTGCTGATGGGCCACTTTGCCTCCCAATATTGCCAAGGCCCAAGGTAATGGGCACAATGGTGAGACGAAGATAAATAAGTGGAAATCAATAGCCTCCCAGCTGAGCAGTAACAACGTGTGTTTGACAATAAATAGCAAATTTCTTTACCTGCTTAATTAGCGGCCCATCGAGCCACTTCAGGACGCACTGAAACGCCGTCGAGTCCTTTAAGGGCTGGCGTGCTCTGTGTGGGTGGGGAGGCACCAGCACGTTCTGGTCAAAAATCTGGTGCCAGTCACGCATCCTGCCGGTCGGCGGGTCACTGGCCTCGGGGGTCACCTGCACCATTCGTGTCAAAGAAATAAAAGAGTTGTAAGTACCACAGTGCTCAGAGCAGTTCTGAAAGTTCCCTACCTCCCACTGTATCCGAGGGCCCAGCACCCCCTAACCCGCCTCTGCAACCCCACCCTCCGCACCCAGGGTGAGACTGGCACCCGCGCTGCCTCCCCCTGGCAAGCGTGCCTGTCTCGCTCCAAAGAACCGCTCTGCCACTCCACTCGGGAGCCAATCAGAGCAGGACTCTCCGGGCTCGGAGACTGGCCCAGGGACGGACACGCAGGGCCGCTCCATGCAGCTGCGGAGGCTGAGCGCGCACAGGGCCCAGGCCTCGGGGACGGGGCTGTCTCCGCCGGGACTGGGGGGCGTGGCCCACTCAGGGCCCCAAGATGCAAATCTCAGAGCTTCTGCCGGGTCTGCTGAGTGAGACCTTCCTGCAGCCCCTGGAGCGGAGGGCTCCCCGGCAGCTGCTGGGCCAGTGCGGGAGCCCCACCTTCACACACACAAGAAGCAGGCAGAGCAGAAGCCAGGCAAGGCCCCCGAGGCGGCTCGGCACGGGCAAAGTCTCTCGCTGCTGAAGCCAGCTGGGGGCAGTTTGAGTGTCGCCTGGCTCACCTCCCAGCCAGACGGGTCTACCCTTCCTGAGGGTCTTTTCAGCTGACAGAGGCCGGACTCTGTACACTAAATGGTGGGGAGAAGAGGCAGCGGGCTGGTCTGCAAGCCAGCAGTTCTTGACCTTATGGTCCAAACCTGTGGCCCCACGTGGCTGAGTGATGTGGGCTGCGGGAGGTGCAGCAAGGAAACAAAGCTTGACCAGGTGCATGTAATTGAGTGGATTCCGAAACCCGCAAGAACGTTGTAAACATCTTGACCCTGGGGTTCCCCAGGCTAGTCAAGGGCTCCGCGAGGTCAAAGCCATTTTCACACATCCAGGTGAGGTCTGCCTTTTTCACTGTGTGGAGCGAGGCCATGGTGGGCGCTGCAGGACTCAGCCTGCCCGGCAGCCAGGGGAGCAAGCCCTCCCCACTCACAGCGAAGTGATGGGCTTCACTTACGGATGCCCTTGGTGACACTGTGAAAAGGACACATTTTCTCTCCTGGAGAACATGCATTTCTAGCATTCTGTGACGGAAGGGGAAATATAAACTGGGCCGCACTCAGCACGGCCAGGGGTGAGCCTGAGGGGGGCGGTGAAGGACGGAGCAGACAGACAAGAGGATAAAGCTGGGCCTGGGTGGGACGCTGCTCTCAGATGGAGAGACAGCACCACGGCCTGCAAGCCGAGTCTTTATTTTATAGCAGATTCCACGAGGCAAAGTCAGGGCGGGTCAAGACGTTTACAACGTTCTCGCGGGTTTCGAATCCACTCAGTTACCTGCACCTGATCAAGCTTTGTTTACTTGCTGCACCTTCCGTAGCCCACATCACTCAGCCACGAGGGGCCACAGGTTCGGACCATAAGGTCAAGCTCACAGCCACAGCCTTTGGCCATAATTGTGCTGGGACTTGCACGTGGCTTTGCCACGAGGACCATGTCCTCTCATTAGTCCGAGGCTTGAACCTGTCCAAACGCTGTAGCCGCTCTCCACAATCAACCCAAACTGCCAAAATGAAGGCAGAGGTCACCCCGGCCGGTGAGCCCTGCTCTGACGATTCAGGCTGCGAGCCGAACCGGCGCTTTGTTCATACGGCAACACTGACACTGAAAACTGCTGAGAAACGAAACACGCTTACTCAGACCTGTACTTGGCAGGTACCTCTCCAACGTGAGCGAACGAGCCTGTCACTTCAAGGAAGACTCGTAATCAAAATCGAGTTCCAGGCAAAGAGCAGAACAGGGAAAGTCAGTTTCCTGCTCCGTGAGCCGGCAGCTCATGCCCTCAGATTCTCGGAGGTGGGTAGTGCTGCAGCGAACGCGAGCTTTTGAAATTGCATGATTAGATGCGTCAGTATTTGGAAGAACCGCTTAACTCAGAGCCTGTTCTCTCTGGGGGAACATGCAGAACGACAGAAACTCCTGCAGGAGGAGCGGGTCCACCCAGCCTGCGGGACAGATCGAGGGACTTCAGTGCAGCAGGATGAGCAGCTCACTGGCAGCTGCACACTCAACGCTGCGTCTGTCCGTCACTTGCAGATGTGACGCCTGTTAAGGACCTGGGCAGGGCGGTCATCCTGGATTAGCCAGGTGGGCCCCTCACGGTCAGAAGGGTCCTAACAAGAGAGGCCGGAGGGCTCCGAGCAAAGGCCGGGGGACAAGGACGCAGGGAGAGATGTGGAGGGGCCTCTAGCAGCTGGAAAAGGCGAGGAAACGGATTCCCCCGGAGTCTCCAGGAGGAACCAGCCCGGCCACCCTGGCTGTAGCCCAGCGAGACAGGCCTTGGACTCCTGGCCTCCAGAACTGGGAGAGAATGAATCTGCGGCTTGAAGCCACCATCTGTGGTAACGTTACAGAAGCCACGGGACTCAGGCGTCCACACCCTGCGAGCAGAAGGGCCCCGGCCAGTAGCCGGTGGGAGAGCCAGCTGCCCAGGAGGCCTCCTGGCGGCCCCAGGGTCCAGCCCTGAGCCCACGTGGTCCCTGTGTTTCCCTGGGTCACGGTACTTGCCACGTGCCCTCGTCTCACCAGCTCACCGGCCAGCTGCTTACAGAGGGGGCCTGCATTCCTGTGTCCCTGAGACCCGGCCACCATCAGAGCTCAATAAACATTCCCAAGAGCAAATGGAAGTTTCCATAAAGTTGACTCCCAAGCATTTTTTTTTTCAGAGAAATGTTGTTTCCCGTTGACTTTTCCTATGAAATCGGGATGCTTATTCACGCGAAGCGAGTGCCCTAATGCACCGATGGGGCCTTGGGCAGAGGCATGGCCCCCGCTGTACCAGCAGGACACACTGGGAAGGAGGCGCCCGTCTGACAGGATCGGCCACCCAAACTCCAACCCTGCGTTGGCAGGTGGAGGCGGGCAGCAAGGTCTGCACGGGCTACGGAGGGAGAGGTGACCCGAGACCCAGGCTCCTGGGGGTGGAGCCCAGGCAGCTGCAGGGGCTGCGGCACCCAGACTCTTCCCTTATCCCGGCCCCACAGAACAGCTACCACCTGGCCCTCCCTCCTCTCCGCCTCCACTCGGCCCTTCCCCTCGGACATCACGCCCTCTCACCCTCTCCACACGCGCACACACACACACACACACACACACGCACACCTGGGTAATCCTCCTTGTCCTCCCGGAGTCAGACCAAATGCCACCTCCCCAGGATGAGCACCCGTCCCCCCAGGGCTCCCCGCATGGGATCCCCACTGGAGTCACCACACTGCGCAGTCCCCACTGTCCTGCGAGACTGAGCTCCGTGAGGTCAGGACTAGGGACTCGGCGGGAATCCTGTTGATGATGAAGTAAACCCTCACATGCCGGAGGAGTGGGGGTGCTGCAGAGGGAGGGCAACGGGTCTTGGAGGCTAGATGAAGAATGATGAGAAAAAGGAGGGTCCCATGCTTTCCCAAGAAAGGGGCCCAATGGGCTGGGGAGACACAGAAAAAATACAGCAGCTTTTGTGAGCCCTGCCATGAGCCAGCGCTCACACTTCCACATTTATGATTCCAGCAGGGCTGAGATGAGCACCACCATTCCCCCCACAGTGAGGCTGCATGGCCATTCCCAGTCAGACAGCGGCCGGGGCTGACTGCAAAGCCCCTTAACCATGCCTGCACCGCGGTCCCGCCGAGGCCAGGAGAGGCAGAGGGACAGGAGGCCCCAGGGGTGAAGGTCAGGAGCACTGGCCAGGGAGCCAGGCTGGTCCTCCCTCTCAGACTCCTCGGAAGTCCTTTGCCCTCCCTGCGTCTGCTTCCCACCTCCACAGCCGGGGTCTTTGCTGCTGAAGCCTATTCAGCACGTCTATTGACACCTGTCTGACCCGGCACACGCGTGTGAAGACCAACGCCCTGACTCCAAGAATCTAAAGATCCAGAGAGGCCCGGCCGGTGGGGCTCAGTGGTTGAGTGTCGACCTGTGAACCAGTTCCATTCCATCATGGCACAGGCCCGGGTTTTGGGCTCAATCCCCAGTAGGGGGCGTGCAGGAGGCAGCCAATCAATGATTCTCTCTCATCACTGATGTTTCTCTCCCTCTCCCTTCCACTCTGAAATCAATAAAAAAAATATATTTAAAGAATAAAGATCCAGAGAGAATGACAAGGGTTGAGGGAGCAGCACAGATGACAGCTAATCCAGCCTCCTTTCTGGGGGGGCTGAAAGCAGGGCAGGGGGAAGAGGAGGGGGCCCAGGAGCTGGAGGTCAGCTGGGCCAAAGTCCAGGGAGGAGGGCGGGAGCCCTGAGAAGCTGTCCTTCCCAGAAAAGAACAAGATCCTGAATAACAGACCCAAAAGCTTTGGAGGACTTTGGGGAGGTGGGGGGGGAGAGTAAGTGGAGATCCAATTAAGCACCGCCTGGAATTCCCTGGTTCAAAATAGATCCTTTGAGTACCTACCACGTGCCAGGCCCTGGAGAAACGGCGCTGACCACAGCAGACAGGCTCCCGACCCTCATGGCACGTGTACCTGGAGGGAGGAAGACAAGGACACAAGTTACCGGGACCAGAGACATGGATGGGACCTGTGGAGACGACAGGAAGGAGTGGAGGGTGCCGTGAGCTGTGACAGACACCTGTAGCTACAACCACCTCCTTTCTAACTAGTCAAGCGGAGCCTGGACTTCCTGCACATACTTCAACCAAGACGACACTGCAACACAGAAGGTAGTGGGTCTGAGAACTGGCGTCTATGGAGACAGGCGCTAAAGGGATGTGCCTGGGTGGGGCCTCGGAGTCTGAAGGAGGAGCGGGCAGCAGGGCAAGCATGCCGGCCACCGAAAGGGGCCAGGTGGTGAGCGCGGAGCCGGCCAGGAGGTCAGCTGGCTGGACAGCAGAGGGTGAAGGCAAGTGCCATGCCAGGGGCTCTGGACACAGGCAGCGCGGTGGCCTTCTGCGAGGACTAGGGAGTCTGGAGATCTCCCTGGCCGGTGGTACCCACAGGGGACGGGCACCCACTGGGAATGGGCACCCACAGGAGACGGGCACCCCGCCCTGGGGAACGCACCCAGGAGTAGTCCCCCACGGGCCTCCGGTACCGGAAGGCCGCTGGGGACGCCGATCGGGGAAAACCAACGCCCGCCAAGATCTCAGCAAAAGACCAGACCGCGCTCTCCTAAAAGCTGGGGACTGCAGAGGGACTCGGGGTCAAGGGGCAGAGGGCGGATGGTGAGCCCCCAGGAGCCGAGGATACCCAGGCAACCAGCAGCCCGGGCCGAACCAAGTGTCACGGCGGAGGGGTGACATGCAACTGACGCTGGCACAGCCCTGCGCCCCGCTCGGCCGCCGCGCCCCGCAGGCACCGGGCCCCCGCGGAGAGACATGCCGAGCATCCCCAAGCCCAAGCCCTAGACCCCCGGCCCGCTCAGCGGCCCAGCGGGTCGAGACCGTGTCCAGCCTCCCCCGCAGCGCCAGCCAACATGGTTCCGACTGTCGCTGCCGCGTTACCTAGGAGACCGGTCCGCCGCGCCCACGCCCACCCTGGAGTGACGAGGCCCACGCTCTCGAGGAAGCGATCCACTACGGACGCAGAGGCCCCGCCGCCAGCCGGTGCCGGGCGGAGCCTCAGGCCTCGCGGGCCAAGAACCGGCCGAAGGACGCCCGGGCCGCTGCCACCGCGGGAGGAGCCTCGCGCCCTGGCCAAGAACCCGCCCCGTGTCACCGTCATCGGCCAATCAGAGCACAAGTCGAGAGGCTCCGCTCCGCCAGCCCCAGCCAATCGGTGCGGTGGCGGGTCCGTCCTGATTTGCATGCTTGGCTCTTCCTCAGCCAATGGGAATGTGACTGGCGTGAATTCCAGCCAATGATGAGCTGTCAGAGGCGTGGCCCCGGGTGTCCCACGAGGTGAAGATGCTGCGGGCGGAACCTGGCCGGGAGAGCGGGATTCGGGGGCGCTAAAGTCGCCGGGCGGGGCGGGAAGGAAGATCCGGAGCGGGCACAGGATCCGGAGTTGGAGCCCCCAGGTGAGTGCAGGGGGCGACCCCGGCGGGACGCGCTGTCCACGGCCGCGCACCGGGAGAGCAGCGGCGGCCCCCGCGAGGCCTGCGGTGATTCTCCATCTCCTCTTCCCTCGCGCGTCCCCGCGCCCGCCTCCACCCTCACCTCCTCTCCAGCCGGCTGGCTCTCTCTCTCCATCTTCCCTCTGCCCCATTTTTTTCTCTTTCTTCATCCAGTCTTCCCTGTTCCGTTTTTTTTTTCCCTCTTTCTTTGACTTCTCCCCCCCGCATCTTTTTTTTTTCTATTTTTTTTTTTTTTTTTTTTTCTTGTTATTTCTGCGGGTGCCCCCTCCCTCTCATTCTAATAATTTTACCCCCC